ATATACACCTGAACATCAGCAGGAGAGGACTCTTTAAAGTAGAGACACTACATACTGATATCCACCTGAACATCAGCAGGAGAGCACTCTTTAAAGTAGAGACACTACATACTGATATACACCTGAACATCAGCAGGAGAGGACTCTTTAAAGTAGAGACACTACATACTGATATACACCTGAACATCAGCAGGAGAGGACTCTTTAAAGTAGAGACACTACATACTGATATACACCTGAACATCTGCAGGAGAGGACTCTTTAAAGTAGAGACACTACATACTGATATACACCTGAACATCAGCAGGAGAGGACTCTTTAAAGTAGAGACACTACATACTGATATCCACCCTGAACATCAGCAGGAGAGGACTCTTTAAAGTAGAGACACTACATACTGATATACACCTGAACATCAGCAGGAGAGGACTCTTTAAAGTAGAGCCACTACATACTGATATACACCTGAACATCAGCAGGAGAGGACTCTTTAAAGTAGAGACACTACATACTGATAGACACATGAACATCAGCAGGAGAGGACTCTTTAAAGTAGAGACACTACATACTGATATACACCTGAACATCAGCAGGAGAGGACTCTTTAAAGTAGAGCCACTACATACTGATATACACCTGAACATCAGCAGGAGAGGACTCTTTAAAGTAGAGACACTACATACTGATATACACCTGAACATCAGCAGGAGAGGACTCTTTAAAGTAGAGACACTACATACTGATATACACCTGAACATCAGCAGGAGAGGACTCTTTAAAGTAGAGACACTACATACTGATATACACCTGAACATCATCAGGAGAGGACTCTTTAAAGTAGAGACACTACATACTGATATACACCTGAACATCAGCAGGAGAGGACTCTTTAAAGTAGAGACACTACATACTGATACACACCTGGACATCAGCAGGAGAGGACTCTTTAAAGTAGAGACACTACATACTGATATACACCTGAACATCAGCAGGAGAGGACTCTTTAAAGTAGAGACAACACATACTGATATACACCTGAACATCAGCAGGAGAGGACTCTTTAAAGTAGAGACACTACATACTGATATACACCTGAACATCAGCAGGAGAGGACTCTTTAAGTAAAGTTAAGTAAAGTACTTTACTTCAAAGTAGAGTGAATATACTAAACCAGGTGTAATTTTAAAGGACGTTGCCTCCGTGTTTCTGCTCACCTTCTCGTGTATTGCTCTCCGATTGGATGGCTGTAGCAGCACTTTGACTCCGGCGTTGGTCAGCTCTTTGACGTGTTTCGGTGCGAGCGGCGCCCTCCTCTCCCAGGGGTTGATGTCCTCACGGCGGATAGCCATGACGGCTCGATGGTGGTCATATCTTCGCTGAACTGAGAGGCAGCGGCGCGACCTCTGACCTCCGTGACTGAGGAGTCTGAACATGGCTTCAGAATTGGGGCGACAATTAGTCCATCAACAGACAAATATGTGATTTCAGCCCCTCAAATATAGAGATTTCCTGCTTTTCTATGCATTACATTAGATAACATAAGATTAACTTAAGTGATCCCTGTCTGGGAAATCATTTTATCACAGCAGCAAGTAAACAAGGCATTACTGCTTTAAAATAAATACAGTAAATATTTTCATATAAAAAGTGAGGGATATATATCTATAGAGTATCCTTATCAAATAAACTCTATAAATACACAGAATAAGTTAGTATTCATAGTAAAAGACCAACCTAAACTACTATGAACATGTATTATAGGATACTTTTTGAGTGGATATAAAGACACATTTTCATGGACCTTCAAAACTGAAACACAAACCATTAATTTTAAAACAGAAATCTGCAAATAAACAGGTTAAACAGATAGTGATTAGTCGCAGCCCTTCGACACACACTGACTTGCATAATCAATTACACAAAGCCAATAGAGATAATATCATAAAACAACAGCTCGGAGAGGTTTCTTTGCACCGTGCATTGTTGTACGTCGGACAAAACAGAGTGGGAATAAAACCTGACAGTCAGGATGAAATATGACTCAAGAGGTCAGAGGTCGGGTAAAGTTTGCTGCTGGGAGAGAGCTGCTGCAGGACAGGTGGTGTTCGAGGACCAGAAGAAACAACCAAACAGAAAAATACAACACACTAGTTCAACTGCTGAGGACATAAAACACACCATGAAGGGTTTAAAGACATGAGCAGCACATGCACAACAATAAATATCCAGGTGTTTAGAATAAAGCCAAAGAGAAACACTCTTCCTAATTTGCACATATTTCTGAATATATTTTCTGCACAGCCCTTCACTTTAAAATACAACACACTTCAGTTTGTCATATATTCATTGTACTGAGTGTTTTGGTATATTCTGTATATTTAAAAACGTATCTGTATGTCTTTTTAATGCTAAAGGTTTGACCTTCTCTTACAACTTATGTTGATTATGTTAGCACCATCATAGCATCAAAGCTAATTCCTTGTAAACGTAGCTGTCAATAAACTTGATTCTGATTATTCCAGTTAATAACATCGTATTGTGAATGTGTGTAAAAGGTGCTCAGTGTAATACAGAGTGCTATTTTTGATATTGATATGACTCTGATAACTGTATGTTAAATATAAGAGTTCAGTTAGCATTTGGTTAGCATAGCTTAGCGCATATAGCTTCCCTGTGTAAATGATTGTTTTAACACTGGTTTGGTTATAGATTAAACAAATGTTAATTGGTGGTTCAGGGTTACAAAGAGTGGGACTGTTAGCGAAGTAGTTTAAATCAATTTAAAAACAGTACACATTTCCACCTGAATTAATTTGGCTAATTATTTGCTCTATTTTATTCCCATTTCCACCTTAATCCCAGCATATTGAGGTACTTTCAATTGTTACCTTTAGTGGTTTCTACTCCTCTACAGTTCAGATGTAAATGGTGTACTTTTCCTCCACTACATGTACTTAATACCTTTAGTTACTTTACAGATGTGGATGAATGATGTGAAATATAATCAAGTATTAAATCAGACAAACAAGATCTACTTCTACTTTTACTGAAGTACAAGATCTGAGTACTTCTATTTTTACTTAAGGACAAGATCTGAGTACTTCTACTTTTACTAAAGTTTAAGATCGGAGTACTTCTACTTTTACTTAAGTAACAGACCTGAGTACTTCTACTTTTACTCAAGGATAAGATCTGAGTACTTCTACTTTTACTCAAGGATAAGATCTGAGTACTTCTACTTTTACTCAAGTAACAGATCCGAGTACTTCTACTTTTACTCAAGGACAAGATGTCAGAACTTCTACTTTTACTAAAGTTTAAGATTGGATTACTTCTACTTTTACTCAAGTAACAGATCGGAGTACTTCTACTTTGACTTAAGTAACAGACCGTTGTACTTCTTCCCCCTCACAGACCTCATGTTGGGAACCAGTGGAAACCCACTGTTTGCTAAACACTTTAAAACAATACTATAATCCTGAGCCTTGTCTAGTATTGACAGCCACTGTGTTAATATCAGTGCTACACGGCTATATTTAAATGTTATATAAACAATGAACTCATATGAACCTAAAGTCAAAGCCAGCACTGACTCCCTCAGAAAGGAGATTTAAATGGGTAACACAGTGAATGGAGTTTGAGGCAACTTTAACCTCCAGCTGCAGACTCTTAGGTCAGATCCTGGATCAGATCCAACACTTCAACACGCCCTCATGTTTACACAATACATAAAGTACCGATACTTGGATCGATCAGCGGCTGCATGTGGAGAAGCGTCCGGGTCAAACTCACCTTTTGTGGCCGGGCTTCAGTTCACCACGCCGGCTCCTGCAGAGGGAAAGTGAGGAAGGAGCTCCGGAGAGTCACGCAGAGGTGATCCTTCCGCACGGTGAACTAATCCGTTTCCGGGCAGACTTTCAAAATAAAGCCAAACAGCAACGTTTCTGTTTGGAAAGAGAGTATTTAAACAACTTTACATCTAATTACAGATTATGATCAAACATTTTACGAGAAGAAAAGCTTTCAGTAAGAAGTTTTAAAGGTGGCTGATTCAGGTTTAAATCAAAGCTTATTTATATTTCCAATATCACAAAGTGGTTTGTCTCACTGGGTTTTACAGATTAACAAACACGGGGCTAAAAGATACATGCAATGACAAGAACAATGGACAAAGCGGAGTGTAAAATACACATACAAAACATTAAATGAGATACAGTAAACACAAATCACAATAACAACATTAAAACTGTAAGACTCAGGAGGATAACAGGTTAAACCCACTTTAACAATATGCTGTGATTGAAAGGTAAGACTTCAGCACAAGTACTACCTCACACTTTAACATATTAATTTTTCACATTTGCTTTTGAACACTTTTACATTTCATACTACGTCACTTGCCCGGAGGTGGAAGAACTTAAGAAGTACTCAGATCTTGTACTTTAGTAAAAGTAGAAGTACTCAGATCTTGTACTTTAGTCAAAGTAGAAGTACGCAGATCTTGTAGTAAAAGTACAAGTACTGAGATCTTGTACTTGAGTAAAAGTATAAGTACTCATATCTTGTACTTGAGTAAAAGCATAAGTAGGCCTACTCAGATCTTGTACTTGAGTAGAAGTAGAAGTACTCAGATCTTGTACTTGAGTAGAAGTAGAAGTACTCAGATCTTGTACTTGAGTAGAAGTAGAAGTACTCAGATCTTGTACTTGAGTAGAAGTAGAAGTACTCAGATCTTGTACTTGAGTAGAAGTAGAAGTACTCAGATCTTGTACTTGAGTAGAAGTAGAAGTACTCAGATCTTGTACTTGAGTAGAAGTAGAAGTACTCAGATCTTGTACTTGAGAAGAAGTAGAAATACTCAGATAGGCCTATTGTAGGCTACTGATTTAAGACTTGATTATATTTCACATCATTCATCCAGATCTGGAAAGTAACTAAAGGTATTAGATACATACGAGTAAAAGTACACCATTTACCTCTGAACTGAAGTGGAGTAGAAGTACAAAATAGCCTAATATTAAAATACTCAAGTAAAGTCAAAGTACCTCAAAATTGTACCTAAGTACAGAGCTTGAGTTGATGTACTTAGTTACCACCAGGTTCCGGTTTGCTCTGCTGAAGTATGTAGTTCTCCGCTGTGGAAGTCGAAGCAGATCTTTGCATCCATGGACGGAATGGATGGAATTTCTCTGTAGAGGAACGTTAGATAAATTAACCTTGTTTTGATGTACTGTGCACCCCGTGTGGGCGGTGTCGGAGCTGTATCACCGTGTATGTTACGAGCATTTTTATTTATTTTAAACAAACGCACATACGTTTATATCATGTTTTAACAAAGAGGGAGGAAGTAGGGTACATTTCCAAATGCGTGCAGATGGAGATAAATTAATGTCACCGCCCATCTACAAGAAATTACGTGACATCTCGGAGGTCGTTTCAGACCGCGCGAAGCGTTTAAAGGTCTGGACAGTAGCAACGTGTCTCAGCCAATCAGCATCCAGAATTGAGGAACGGCCTCCCGCTCAGCCAATCACAGTAAAGCTTATTTTTCACTGACTTTATGTGACTGGAAATATAAACAGCGGAAAATAATCAGGATTGGAAAGTTACTGGATACTTTTCCTCAAAAACTGTAATAAAATTAAGGTATTTGTACTTAATATAAGTATGTCTGTTTTATGCCACCTTTTACTTCTACTCCACGGCATTTTAAAGGCAGATATTTTACTTTCTACTTATTTATTTCAGTGACTTTTCAGATTTTAATTAATGATAACAATCAACAAACAAACTCTTATAGGCTCTATGATTTAAAGTGAAGTTACCTAGCAGTACATAAAGTAATTAAAATGATCTTTTAGTATGTCTGTGTTTATGAAATATCATTAAATGTATTCATGTGTTCGGCCAAAATGCATTTTACAGGCCTTGTTAAATATTTGTATTATTAAGTAAAAATAATTAAACGAGTGATTACACGCAGTTGATTTTATTTATTATTTGTTCCATGTTAAGCGTCTGCAGCAGGAGGCCCCAAACCTTCACCACAACATGATTCTTATTGTATAACAGAAGTACAATTTAAAATAAATATCATAAAACACCTTTTTTTTTTTACAATAATCCTGAGATTTAAATAAAAAATAACAACAGACGGACGGGACCAGAGATGTGGAGGTGAAGGGATGGTACTGAAGTTAAAACCCACCAACAGTGTAGGAACTATAGTGGTACTTAAGGTCGAAGAATATTACAGCTTGTATGCAATATTGTTGTTATTTCCACCGTCATTTTGTAATATGAATACCATTGCAGGTCAATAAAAAGGAGGATCATGAACCTTTGTATCCATCTTAACATCTTTTTATGATGTCAAATTGAAAGTGGGTGCAGCTAGAAAGTCTGTAATATGGTAATACTTAAATAACACACTCCAGCAGGGGCGCACCTTGCGAACAGGCAAGGCAGGCAACTGCTTGGGGCCCCGGACCAGAAGGGGGCCCCCAAAGAAGGTAGATTAAGAAGGTCCACAGCAACGACAACATGAAACACCCTTTAATTTACTGCAACGACATGTCGGGTAACCCCCTTCAGGGGGCCCCATGCATAGCGCGCCGTCAAAAGCTCATATTTTCAGTTGCGCTGCTCCGCTCCGGGGGGGGGGGGGGGGGGGGGGGGGGGGGGGGGCTATGCATGGGGAATTGCCACTGCACTCCAGTCATGGTAAAACCCCAAATAGCATAATATGGCCTCTTTAAACAAACAGGAGGCAATAGTGCATTTATTGGGGACTATTTTCAGCGGCGGATTAATCCACATTTGGTGCTCTGTGTGTGTGTTTGTGTCAACAGGACGGTGTGTGTGTGTCAACAGGACGGTGTGTGTTTGTGTCAACAGGACGGTGTGTGTTTGTGTCAACAGGACGGTGTGTGTGTGTCAACAGGACGGTGTGTGTTGTGTCAACAGGACGGTGTGTGTGTGTCAACAGGACGGTGTGTGTTTGTGTCAACAGGACGGTGTGTGTGTGTGTCAACAGGACGGTGTGTGTTTGTGTCAACAGGACGGTGTGTGTGTGTGTCAACAGGACGGTGTGTGTGTGTCAACAGGACGGTGTGTGTTTGTGTCAACAGGACGGTGTGTGTTTGTGTCAACAGGACGGTTGTACGGTGTGTGTGTGTCAACAGGACGGTGTGTGTTTGTGTCAACAGGACGGTGTGTGTGTGTGTGTCAACAGGATGGTGTGTGTGTGTGGGATTGAGTCAGAATAAAGTACAGCGTGTGTTCAAGGTAATAAAAGAACATGTATATAAATGCAAAATTATGATGACTTTTTAATATTTTTGGACGACAACGGCGCACTATGGCACAGAGAAAGAAGATATATTAGACTTTGATACACACACACACAATACTTAGTTAGTTGCATAAAATCACCTGGTTTGGTCTGTTTATGGGATTTGTTGACTAAGACAGAATATATAACATTAGTTTCAAAGACTTCGGGGTTGAAACCTTGGTGTAAATCAGGTTTTTACTTGTGTCTTGTTTCATCTCCACTTAATCTCTGGTGTCATCAATCCCACATCCTGAGATGCAAAATAATGAAAACCAGTAATCACTGATGACTAAGGACATGATAATTAGCCACCATTATAATATAATTGACTAATAATCAGAGGAGTTTAAAGTTCAGTTTGTCCTCTGAAGTGTCCTCAGTCCAACGCGAGCAGAGAGTCCGACGTTTCCAGGCGTTTGGGGGTCAGAGAGGTCACCTTATATTGAGTCTGAGGGGCCTCCAGGGGTCACGAAGGGTCAAGTTCAAGAGGAACGGGTCAAGAGGCCTGAGAGGAGTCCTGTGTTTCTTCCAGGAAACGAATGGAAACTGTTGGTTTATTTGTAGGAGTTGTAGGAGTCCGTCTTCATTGAATGTATTCCCTTGAGCTTAAAAGCACAATGAGTAGGATTTGTTGGCAGCGGTTTGTGAACAACAACATTAAAAAGTTGGTCCTTTTTCACAGGTTCAACAAGAGGGTAATGTGCGTATCCGTGCAGCTTTTATTTTAAAAAGATCCTTGTCCACTTGATGTTTTGCGTTCCTATATTTGAGGTTTTTTCAATGGTGTGTTTTCGTCGCTTCTCCTTGATCGTGTGCTTACGTTATAGCACCTGATCGCTCCGTTTTTATTTGGGTTTACGTCCATTATCGTCCCAAAAATAGCAAAATAAAAAACATCCACTCAGAGAGTTGTGCCGCCACATGCTTCGAGATGTTCACATGGGATGTTTTCTGTTTTATTTTCCTACTCATTGTGCCTTTCATTGACCAAAAACAAGCGTGAAATGTCACCGTTTGTGAGCAAATACTGTTGGACTTCATTGGTTCTATGTGAAAATGTGTCTCTTTTTTTAACAGGGACCAAAAAATACTGATTGTCGTTGGTCGTTTTGGATTTACGGCCAAATATTTTACAGCGATACTTCCATCATGATTGTCAACTTTTCATCTGGGATGCGACACGATCGGTTATCTTCTGTGTCAAACAATTTAAAGGGGAACTTCACTAGCTTTTTTATTCCTTCTCGGATACTTAAATGACAAATTAATGACAGAAAAGCTGCGTTACAGACAGAGTATTTGGGGTTTTGAAGAGATAGACACGCAGGAAGGGTCTATCCAGTCAATCCATCCAGTTGCATTGTGGGAAATGTAGGAGTCTTCGTTTTTGAAGCCTAATCAGGATGTCTTAGCTTTTGCTGCGTAAACTTTGAGATTTTTGAGAAAAGCGTCTAAACAAAAATAGGTTTTAGAAAACTTCATAGCTGTTGAGGGTCTGATCAAAACACACAAACTAGGTGCATTGTGGGAAATGTAGGACGCTTAGTTTCATACGTATCTCTATCTCCGCCGCTTTGTTTTGGACTGTTTTCCTGGCCTTAAAAGTGTCAAAATAAAAGACAATTTGTCTGGAAAAAAACACCATCCAGGTGCATTGTGGGAAATGTAGGACACAGACATTTTGACAGTTTGTTCAGCCTCAATTGAGTTGTATTTAAGATATTCGTTTTTAACAAATTGTCAGAATCGTCCTTTGGTGTCAAAATAAAGCAGGGAGGATCAAAACACACAACCCAGGTGCATTGTGGGAAATGTAGGACCCGTTTTGTCATGTAAATCTAAGCCTTGCTTTGATTTTGACATTTCATTTGGCCTTAAAAAAGTCAAATATGAGATATTTTTCGATATATTCTTTGCATGTATAGTCAGAATCCTCCTTCAGGTTTTGGAGAACTTCATGGCTGCACAAGACAGAAGTCAGTGTCCAAATGAAGCCATCTGAGAGCAGGATTTTGTGATTTTCGGCACCAAAAGACACATATTAGAGGATCCAAATGACTGGAACCAGGGTACCGAAGCACACTGATTGGTCACTTAGGGGCAAAAGTTCCTAATAAATTAAAATAGTCTTCTTCCTAACACCTTCAGGGCTCCATAGACCAGGACTTGAGTTCAGTTTCAGTGTTTGTAGTGCCTGGTTCAGGCCTGCGGGGGGGGGCTGCGCGGTGTTGAGGTCGTGCAGCTTCCTCATGTGTTTCTTCAGGTCAAAGTTCCTGCAGAAGCCTTTTCCACAGGTGGGGCAGGTGAAGGGCTTCTTGTCGTTGTGCGTGTGCATGTGGAAGGTGAGGTTGTACACCTGGTGGAAGGCCTTGTTGCAGATTGCACACTTGAACTGCTTCTCGCCGCTGTGCGTCAGCTTGTGGTTCTTGTAGTTTCCTGCAGAGAGTCGAAGAGCAGGAGTCAGAAAACACGAAATACTTTGACTAAAGAGCCCATTGTTTAATAAATATAATGATATCTCAGAAACTGCTTCAAAATCAGACAATATAAAGTACATTTTTGTCAAACTCATTATCATAAAAATCCGTTTTTGGCTGCACAAGAAATAAGTTAGTCTAAATGAAGCATTGTCTGATCAAAACACACAATCCAGGTGCATTATGGGAAATGTAGGACCGTTAGTTTCATATACATATATCGGTCTCTGCCGCTTTGTTTTTTGACTGTGTTTGACTGGCCTTAAAAGTGTCAAAATCAAAGATAATTTCTCTGAAATAAATCCAGAAACAGCCTAAATACACCAGGTGCATTGTGGGAAATGTAGGACACGGACATTTTGACAGCTGTTCGGCCTTAAAAAGACTTTCATTTAAGATATTCGTTAAATGATCAGAATCTTCCTCTAATGTCTATGAAGCAGGGAGGGTCTGATCAAAACACACAATCCAGGTGCATTATGGGAAATGTATAGGACCCCTTGTTTCATATAGCATCAGTGAAGCATTAGCATATTAAATACGTGTTTTATCCCACAGACTATAAGGCTGGGAAGGGTCACCATTCACATATGTCCGTAATATTCTACCGTAGTATTTATATATTAATATGAATAATTTTCTACTTTCAACTGAGTAACATTTTGAATGCAGGACTTTTACTAACAGAGTATTCCTACACTCTGGTACTACTTGTACTCAAGTACAAGATCTGAGTACTTCTACTTTTACTCAAGTACAAGATCTGAGTACTTCTACTTTTATTAAGTACAAGATCTGAGTACTTCTACTTTTACTCAAGTACAAGATCCGAGTACTTCTACTTTTACTCAAGTAGAAGATCTGAGTACTTCTACTTTTACTCAAGTAGAAGATCTGAGTACTGTTTCTGTCAAAATGTCTGTGTCCTACATTTCCCATAATGCACCTGTGTTTTGATCAGACAATGCTTCAACTTATGTCTTGTGCATGATCTCAGTCCTTCTTCTTTTACTCAAGTACCAGATCTGAGTAGCCTGCTTCTCTGAATATATAAAAGCACTCTTTCTTTCCTCACCCTTCTGATGAAATCCCTTCCCGCAGAACTCACACACAAACGGCTTGTATCCCGCGTGTATGCGCGTGTGTGTGTTGAGCGTGGAGCTGCGGTTGAACGCCTTCCCGCACTGGTTACACTTGTGAGGCTTTTCCTGCACAAACACACGGGAGGAGAAGTATTTAATATCACAGAAAATACATGAATTATTTATTTATTTGTATTTAACATGATTTGACAGATTTATATTTTGTATTTAGTTGCTGCAGGATTTAAAAACATGAGCTCATTCAGCTGAAATGATATCGATGTGTTGATTGACCACAGGAGGAGATGTATTTATTATCACACACAATCACACATCGATCAATATCTATTATATTTCATTTTGGCTGCACAAGAAAGAAGTTAGAGTCTAAATGAAGCAGGGATGATCAACACACACAATCCAGGTGCATTATGGGAAATGTAGGCCCTTATTTCATGTAGCATTAATGAAGCAAAAGCGGGGTGATTTAGCCTAATGTGGGACACTTGTTTGAAGGTCGCTCCTTCCTCATCTGTGATTGGACATTTGAGAAGTCATGTGATTTTGATCGCATGACATCACAGCTTGTGTTAACTCATAGTTTCATTGACTCTCATTTGTTTGCGGAAGTTTAGGTGTCGGGCAATTCACCCCATATTAAATACGTGTCAACTTTGTCTGATGTTTATTTGTTATTTGTTTGCTGCAGGATTAAAAAAACACGAGAGTTTATCTGAAATGATATGGATGTGTTGAGTGACCACAGGAGGAGCTCAAACGCAACACTGAGAGGCAGAAAAAGCTCAATCGTTATTTTAATGTTTACTTTTTCCACTAAAACGTAGCATTTCAGTTCGACTTTGAGGTGTCCGAATACCATCACTGAGCAATATGATAAGGGGACTTTTTTTAGTGTTTAAGGGATTCAAACATGACCACATGAAAAAAACAAAGCGAATTATTTGTTTTCACTTATCAAAAACCACCTTTAAATAAATGCCTCAGAGACGCACCCTTAAAAAACTAATATAATAATAGATGTAATGGATTAACTTCACTTTGAAATGGATTGTCAGGTCACACACACAAACAAACACACACACACACACACACACACACACACACACACACACACACACACACACACACACACACACACAACACACACACACACGTTACACAATGTACATGTATTTGATGTGACTAAAGGTGTGTGTCCTACCTGAGTGTGTATGATTTTGTGTCTGCAGAGCGTGCTCGCCTGTCGGAAGCCTTTCCCGCACACTTTGCACACAAACGGCCGCGCGCCTGTGTGCACGGGCATGTGGCGCGTCAGGTTGTAGTGCGCGTTAAACACCTGCGAGAGAAAAAAAAATACGATGTAAAAAACACACATTCAAATAATAAAACACACATTAAATTAATAAAACACACATTAAATTAATAAAACACACCACAAACACTGTATATTCCCCTTCAAATAACACATATTATATTTTAGTTTATTGTCGAAAAACACACATTTGAATGTGTTTATGCTCTCCGTGCGATGAGATGTGTTTAATTAAAATAAGAAAGTCCTTTGTCAGCCTCTTTACTCTAAATAATGAAATTTAAAGGACAAATAATGCCATTGAAACTACTTTACCCCCCCCCCCCTCCCCTTTATGTCCCAGTTTAAAGGCTCGCGATGTTTTCCAGAACGTTTTAATCTGGAGCTTTTTAATGATCAGCCTGAGTCTAATTAAAGCTGCCGGGGGTCTTCAATGGGCTCTGAGTGTAATGCTGTCAGAACAACACAATGAGCTCTCATTGTGTTGTTGTTTTGTAACTGTTTTGAATTTAATGGCAGAATTAACAACATTTAATTTAGTTCTGATTCTACTGGACTCTGTTTTCCGACCTTTGTGAACGTGTGTGAGGTGGGAGGTGGAGGAGTTAGGTAAGTCTGGGCTACCCTTTACATTTCATCACGTGGTAACACATGTTAGACACACGGTTAGTGGATTGTATTCTGCTTTGTCCAGTTCTTAGTAGTTCAGTTAGTGAGGCTTTTGTTTGAGTTGTGGGTTCAGAGGACAGATAGAGATAGGCCTGGTTTTCTTATATGTATTTCTTTTGTTTGGCACAGTCTCCTTGTTGCACTGCCGCTGCCTCCTGCCTCCTCCTCCTCCTCCTCCTCCTCCTCCTCCTCCTCCTCCTCCTCCTCCTCCTTCCTCCTCCTTCCTCCTCCTCCTCCTCCTTCCTCCTCCTCCTCCTCCTCCTCCTCCTCCTCCTCCTCCCTCCTCCTCCTCCTCCAAAGAGCATTTACGGTCATGTCTTTGTTATAAAATGAATACACTTGTGTTAACGTTCACTCTGACTCCCTCGCGTATTGGTTGTTGCGTGTTACTGACTCCAGGTCCCCTAGACACCTTAGTGGGGACGTGACAATATGTCCTCACCCTTTTTGTCTTTATAATCAAAAACCTCTTATTTTGACAGATTCCCTGGAAGCTATATCAAATGATCCTGAAAGAAAGTCTAAATGAATCCAATCTGTTCCCGTTTTAAATCCTATGTTATTTAGTTGTTGTTTACTTGTTGTTCACTTTAGAACTCAAACATCCCGCTCAAAATGTTTCTAAATGACATGTGATCATTTTCCAATTAAGATGATTTCCTTACGAATGAAAGGGAATGAAGATCCTTTTATCGTCTGATGATGAGGTGATATAACTCATAATTGGGCCAATTTCACTCTCTATCAGGGGTGTCAAACTCAAGGACCGGGGCCCAAATCCGGCCCGTGACTTCACGTAATGCGGCCCCACAAGAGCTTGCAAATAATATGTTTATTACACGGTTACCGATTTACAGAAGCACGTTGCCCATAAACTACATGTCCCACAATGCATCTCAAATTTGACTTTTTCTCATAATTTGACTTTTTTTTAATGTTGACTTTTTTTTCAGAATTTGGGTTTTCTTCTTAAATCATTTTGTGACATTCTCACTGAAGAGACTTGCAATTATTTGCGCGAGACTTCTGCTTTCAGACGTAGTTAATTATGAAGCTATTACCCTATCCGATAATAATCCAAAGCAGAGGCAATCATGTAATATAATACATTATTTTATATTAAATATATATGTATATTTATATAGTCTTGAAGTTACAGCCGGCCCTTTGAGTGCAACCATAACGCTGATGTGGCCCGCGATCAAATTGAGTTTGACCCCCCCGCTCTACATGATCAACGGTTATACATGTTATCCCCAAAAACACCTTGAATTAATCCGATTTTATGAACATCGTTAAAATTGACTTTTTAAAGAAAAGATGTTGAAAAAAAAGAAAATTCTTAAACCAGTTTGAATAATCAACATTTTAGGTTTGAATCCGATTCAATAATACCCCAAAAATAACCCTTTAAATACAAAATCCCATGAAATAGTGTAACATAAATCTGGATTCTTAAATTGATTAAAACGATGAACCTTTAATAAACACATCTTTGAAATGTATCCCCTCAAAAGGGTAATCCAAAAGTCCATCCAGAATAAAAACAGAAATCCTAATAATAATAATAATCAGATATAAAATCTTTCGGTTTGACTTTATTTATTAAACATTAACCTGCTGCATGTTTTTAAGTGATGTAGTTTCCTTTGAATAATAACAGCTGGGTGCGAGACTCCCTGAAATGGTTTCTTTTAAATCTGGATTTTTCCAAAAGGCCATTCTTATAATAATCAGTAATAAAAACCTCTGAATTAACTCTCTATTTAACACATAAATCATTACGTCTCGAGGTCATATAGTTTCCTGATTATTAATACAGGTCTCAGGACTGAACAAATGTTTCCTTTGAATCTGGATTTTCACCAAAGGCCTTCCAAACATCCTCTGAATGAACACTTAAGTCATTACGTCTTGAAGTCATTACTTGTATCTTATTTTATTTAGTTTTATTTCTATTTGTATTCCACACACTATCTTATCTTCTCAGTTTGCTTTAACTCCATCACATACCATGATGTTATTGGGCTATACAAATAAAGCTTGATTTGATTTATTTAGTTTCCCGGTCAGTAATAATAATAATAATAATAATAATAATAATAATAATAATAATAATAATAATAATAATAATAATAATAATAATAATAATAATACCGGACTCAGGACTCACTTTCCCTGAAATGTTTTAGTTTAAATCTGGTCCAAAACCTTCTGAATGAACTCTCATTTAACACATAAATCATTAGGTCTCGAGGTCATTTCGTTTATTTTCCTGGTTAATAAACAGGAGCACTCACCTTCCCGCAGACCTCGCAGGTGAACACTTTGGGTTTGTTCCCGGGACACGAGCCTTGGATCCGGGCCGCCGCCGCAACCGCCGCCGCCGCCGCGGAGCCTTTGAAGATCTTCTCGGTGAGGATGTGGTCCTTCATGTAGTTCTGGATCTGACTCTGACTCACCGGGTACCGATCCGTCTGCTGCTGTAACCCCGGCTTCACGCTCTTCTCCGCCATGAGGGCTTTGTGGCGGGCGCTGAGCAGGTAGGAGGCCATGGGGTGCAGGTTCACGAGCCCGGGGGGCGCGCACCCTCCTCCTCCGGTGTCCCCGGTGCAGTTCAGGTAGCACACGGTGCCCATGGTGGGGAAATGGGACTGGTTCACGACGCGCGGCCGGAACAGTTTGTACTGCCCCGGAGAGGACTCATCCTGCGGGGGACCGTGCTTGTAGTTCAGCCCGAAACCCAGAAAGTCTGCCGGAGTCGCGAGAGAAGAGGCGTCAAAGTGTCCCGGTTCCAGCCCGGTGATGCTGATCCGGTGTCCGGTCTCATACCCGAGCGGCAGCAGCGGGATCATGCAGTGCAGCGGGGCCGGGTCGGGTTTCCCCGCGGGAGGAGCGGGCTGGAACCAGCTGGGGAGCGGGATTATCGACTTGGGCTCGGGCGTCCGGGCCATAATCCGGTCGATGGAGAAAGCGAGAGGTTTGCTGCCGGAGATGAGCGAGTCTGAGCCCGCAGGCTGGCTCCCAGAAGCCGGGGGGGAGCCGAGGATCCCCGCTGGGCGGCGGAGAGGACCGTCCATCACCGCCGCGATGAGAAGCTGCTGGAGGGGAAGGTCGCTCCTCACCGGCCCATCATCTGCTGGGGAACCCCCCCTCCAAAAATAAAATCACCTTATCGTCCTTATCGACGGCAATCAGCGCGTGCGGAGAGCCGAGACCTCGCGGATCGTTAACCGTCCAGGAAGAGAGAGCAGGGAAAGTAGATAATTTGCTCAATACTCCGCTGTCGATTCTCTGCACTTGTCACCGCTGGATAAGAGGAGGAAGAGGAGGAGGAGGAAGGTCGTCCCTCACTTGGCAGGACTCCTGCTCAACTGGAAGGTATTTGGTAAATCCCAGGTCCCCTTGTGGCTTTGCGTGACATCATTTTTTTCTTTCTTGAATCACGTAACGCGGGGGTCAGGAGCTGTGGAGGAGGTTTGGACGCGTCTTTGGCTCCTCTAACGCCAGCCCCTCTCCACGCACGGAGACACACGGAGCTGTCATGTGGCTGAACTTGAGACAGAACACGGATCGAGATGTTGAACAGGAAATGGATTTAAAGACATCGATCTCAGCCTGGGTGCGCTTTGAATATCACACTTTGACTCGGAGCGTTTTTTGTCTTCATCCTTTTATTTTTTACGCTCATGATTTTTGGATGCTCAAACAAACACATCCACGAAAGAAAAGGCTCTCTAGAGACTTGTGTATATATTCTGAAGAAGCAACCTGAGAAATAACAGTTAGCTGCGCTTTCTTATCTCATCTCCTGCATGCTTTCTTTTTTAGTTTTGGATGCATTTGGTTCTTTTACGCGCATTTACGCAAATTCATCAGGATGAATAAATAACACGATGTGCGTAAACCTTCATCCTTCCAGTGATGATGAAGAGGGAGCTGAAGCTAATAAGGAGGATTTATTGTTACATTGTGAACATTAGATGGACAGAAAGGGCCAGACAAGCGAAGCAGGAGATACAAATAATAAAGAATACATGTGTACGGTATTTGTTTTGTGTTTCTGGACTGAAACTGGTGTGTTTTTCATTATTGTAAAAAACACAAACACCAGATTTTAAAATGTCGTTTTTCACTTTTCAGTTCATCTGATAAAGCCTGAGATTATTATTACTCATTTATATTATTCTGATTTGTACATTTTTGACGGTGAGACAATGACTGGAAATGATCGGAAGGATTTGTTAAAATATCAAAAGCGCGAAAAGATTTTTAATATAAAAAAACAAAACGTGAACATTAACGTCCTAAAATGAATCTGACCCTTCAATAGCAATACAGCACAACAGATAACACGATGTCTTAAAAAGGCAGTATTTAAAACAGTAATATTAAGGATATATATTTTTGGTATCAATCTTAAACGAATGCAGTTTGTAAAAAACATGAAGGTGGCATTTTTTATGAAGGAATGTGAGATTTAAGACTTTTGTATTTCTATGGGATGCTTGAGGTTTCAGAGGCCGCAGAAAACATTTAAACACATTTCTATAAAATACTCGTTTTGCAAAAAATACAATCATTATTTTGTCATCCAGCAAATTATTGAGAAGCCTTAGGAAAACCAAAAAGCTCTTTATTACAAAAGGCCTTCGTTGTTGCAGGCCTTCTGTGTTTCATTCTGTCCTTCTAATGTTCTATACATAATAATCTAACATGTTTTATAACCATAATAATATTAATGCATCACTGGAATGTAGATTTGAGCATATCTAAGCGTTTTAACAACTAAAGCCCGTGTTGACATCCTGGAGGCTGCAGGTGATGGATAACAACTTGTAAAATAATTGATATTATATATCAGGTGATAACTGTTGACAAATACCTACACATATTAACTTAAAATGTCCTTAAACCTGCCTTTAACTTATAAAGCACTTATCAAAGGGAAATTAAAGTGTTGCCATTATTGCACACATTTAAAGATATAATACTAACAATGTGTTTTTTTTGGCAGTAACAAAAGGAATTCAAAGATCTTATTGCATGAAGATGTGTCATCAGAAAACCAGTTAATAATGAGGGAGTGGAATAAAGGAAATTCAATGTGTAATGTGAGGTATAATGAAGACACGAGTTATATGTGTACATCGATGCAATTCTGCACAACACATATGGAAATAAGAGTTATATGCAAATAGTAAAAGAAAGTGCACATTTTCATTATGATCACATTATTATTGACAGTGATGTGTCTTTGTTCTGCAGAGTAATTAATTATATAACCTTGTCATTTACGCCTTATCTCCTGCTGAATTTATTTATATATTAATATGAGCTTTAAATATTTGTGTTTTATTGTTTTTTTTAATCTTTCAGTTTCATGTTTTTTTTTTTTTAATAATAATCATGAACAAAACGTTCCTTTTAAAATCTGGATGAAAAATGTGATGTTCATTAGATTTGTTTCTCTTTACTGGAATCTAAGTTGAAACCTATCACAGCCTTTCTATTGAAATTATTATTATTTTAATTATTAATAATGTGTCCTTGCTCTGTTTGTGACAGCGGCGGCAGGAAAATGTTCGATGCTCATTTTAATGAGGAGAGAAAAGGAAGCTGATGGACGGCAGCCAGCGACAGTTTCCAAAGGAACAGAAGCCCTTAAAAGAAAACCCTTAAACCTGCAAGATTAAAGGGGAATGGAGAATAAGACCTTCTTTAAGAGGAAACAACAGAAAACAAAGTCTTAAAGAGTCCTCTCCTGCTGATGTTCAGGTGTATATCAGTATGTGGTGTCTCTACTTTAAAGAGTCCTCTCCTGCTGATGTTCAGGTGTATATCAGTATGTAGTGTCTCTACTTTAAAGAGTCCTCTCCTGCTGATGTTCAGATGTATATCAGTATGTGGTGTCTCTACTTTAAAGAGTCCTCTCCTGCTGATGTTCAGGTGTATATCAGTATGTAGTGTCTCTACTTTAAAGAGTCCTCTCCTGCTGATGTTCAGGTGTATATCAGTATGTAGTGTCTCTACTTTAAAGAGTCCTCTCCTGCTGATGTTCAGGTGTATATCAGTATGTAGTGTCTCTACTTTAAAGAGTCCTCTCCTGCTGATGTTCAGGTGTATATCAGTATGTAGTGTCTCTACTTTAAAGAGTCCTCTCCTGCTGATGTTCAGGTGTATATCAGTATGTAGTGTCTCTACTTTAAAGAGTCCTCTCCTGCTGATGTTCAGGTGTATATCAGTATGTAGTGTCTACTTTAAAGAGTCCTCTCCTGCTGATGTTCAGGTGCATATCAGTATGTAGTGTCTCTACTTTAAAGAGTCCTCTCCAGCTGATGTTCAGGTGTGTATCAGTATGTAGTGTCTCTACTTTAAAGAGTCCTCTCCTGATGATGTTCAGGTGTATATCAGTATGTAGTGTCTCTACTTTAAAGAGTCCTCTCCTGCTGATGTTCAGGTGTGTATCAGTATGTAGTGTCTCTACTTTAAAGAGTCCTCTCCTGATGATGTTCAGGTGTATATCAGTATGTAGTGTCTCTACTTTAAAGAGTCCTCTCCTGCTGATGTTCAGGTGTGTATCAGTATGTAGTGTCTCTACTTTAAAGAGTCCTCTCCTGCTGATGTTCAGGTGTATATCAGAATGTAGTGTCTCTACTTTAAAGAGTCCTCTCCTGCTGATGTTCAGGTGTATATCAGTATGTAGTGTCTCTACTTTAAAGAGTCCTCTCCTGCTGATGTTCAGGTGTATATCAGAATGTAGTGTCTCTACTTTAAAGAGTCCTCTCCCGCTGATGTTCAGGTGTATATCAGTATGTAGTGTCTACTTTAAGAGTCCTCTCCTGCTGATGTTCAGGTGTATATCAGTATGTAGTGTCTCTACTTTAAAGAGTCCTCTCCTGCTGATGTTCAGGTGTATATCAGTATGTAGTGTCTCTACTTTAAAGAGTCCTCTCCTGCTGATGTTCAGGTGTATATCCGTATGTAGTGTCTCAACTTTAAAGAGTCCTCTTCTGCTGATGTTCAGGTGTATATCAGTATGTTGTGTCTCTACTTTAAAGAGTCCTCTCCTGCTGATGTTCAGGTGTATATCAGTATGTAGTGTCTCTACTTTAAAGAGTCCTCTCCTGCTGATGTTCAGATGTATATCAGTATGTAGTGTCTCTACTTAAAGAGTCCTCTCCTGATGATGTTCAGGTGTATATCAGTATGTAGTGTCTCTACTTTAAAGAGTCCTCTCCTGCTGATGTTCAGGTGTATATCAGTATGTAGTGTCTCTACTTTAAAGAGTCCTCTCCTGCTGATGTTCAGGTGTATATCAGTATGTAGTGTCTCTACTTTAAAGAGTCCTCTCCTGCTGATGTTCAGGTGTATATCAGTATGTAGTGTCTCTACTTTAAAGAGTCCTCTCCTGCTGATGTTCAGGTGTATATCAGTATGTAGTGTCTACTTTAAAGAGTCCTCTCCTGCTGATGTTCAGGTGTATATCAGTATGTAGTGTCTCTACTTTAAAGAGTCCTCTCCTGCTGATGTTCAGGTGTATATCCGTATGTAGTGTCTCAACTTTAAAGAGTCCTCTACTGCTGATTTTCAGGTGTATATCTGTATGTAGTGTTTCTACTTTAAAGAGTCCTCTCCTGCTGATGTTCAGGTGTATATCAGTATGTAGTGTCTCTACTTTAAAGAGTCCTCTCCTGCTGATGTTCAGGTGTATATCAGTATGTAGTGTCTCTACTTTAAAGAGTCCTCTCCTGCTGATGTTCAGGTGTATATCAGTATGTAGTGTCTCTACTTTAAAGAGTCCTCTCCTGCTGATGTTCAGGTGTATATCAGTATGTAGTGTCTCTACTTTAAAGAGTCCTCTCCTGATGATGTTCAGGTGTATATCAGTATGTAGTGTCTCTACTTTAAAGAGTCCTCTCCTGCTGATGTTCAGGTGTATATCAGTATGTAGTGTCTCTACTTTAAAGAGTCCTCTCCTGCTGATGTTCAGGTGTATATCAGTATGTAGTGTCTCTACTTTAAAGAGTCCTCTCCTGCTGATGTTCAGGTGTATATCAGTATGTAGTGTCTCTACTTTAAAGAGTCCTCTCCTGCTGATGTTCAGGTGTATATCAGTATGTAGTGTCTACTTTAAAGAGTCCTCTCCTGCTGATGTTCAGGTGTATATCAGTATGTAGTGTCTCTACTTTAAAGAGTCCTCTCCTGCTGATGTTCAGGTGTATATCCGTATGTAGTTTCTCAACTTTAAAGAGTCCTCTTCTGCTGATGTTCAGGTGTATATCAGTATGTAGTGT